CCAGGCCATCTGCCAGGTGCTTCTTCACTGTTTCCCACATTTTCTTGTCGGAGAGTTCTGCAGTATAGGTATGACCAAGGCTGCGGATGTGTTGGCTTGCCAGCAGTGGGATCTCTTCACCACCTATGACAAATGTGGTAGTATGGCTTCTAACTCCTTTCCTCAGGGAGAGGTTTGATCTTCAAATACTTGCCCACCCCACAAGCTCATCAATCCTCATTAGCAGTCTCGTTGCACATGCTGCTGTCTGGAGGATGGTGGTGGTGTCATCCATATAGCCTCTCACTGGGGGTAGCCTCTGCCCTGATACCTACCTCCAGCTGCTGCCATCCTGTAGTGTAGTCCCGGTGGGTGCAGCACATCTTGAGGTCTTCAAAGGACTTGGCTACTAAGGTTCTGATGGGGCCAGGTATAGAGAAGAAGTCCAGGGCATAGTCGATGAGTTGATGGGGGACGGATCCGTATGCATTGGCAAGGTCCAGCCATACCACATGCAGGTCACCTTTTTCGCCTTTTGCTCTCTGGATCTGCTCCCAGATGACTGGAGAGTGTTCCACACACCCTGGGAATCCTGGTAAACCTGCTTTCTGGCAGCTGGTGTCAATGTACCTGTTGCTAGTCAGGTAGTTGGTCAGCCTCTTGGCCAGTACGGAGAAAAATATGTTTCCTTCGACATTCAGGAGCGCAATGCTCCTGAACTGACTGATGGTGGTGGATATTGCCTCCTTCGGGATAAAAACTGTGACTGCCCTTTGCCACTCTGAGGGGATGACTCGGTTCTTCCAGGCCACGCTCATAAGGTTCCACAGAAGTTTCTGGGCAATACAGTTTGTAAGGTATCCCATTGGGGTCTGGGACTGAGGCTGCTCTTGCTTTCCGGACAACTTCTGCGACCTCACTGAGCTTAAGGAGAGCTGCATCGAATGGGAAAGATTAATAATAATAATAATAGTGCTTCAACAGTTTGACAAAGAAGAAGACAGAGCTGGCATATTTTTTTGTTTTTGTTTTTTTTTTCAAGTCAAAGTCCCCTGGGGCAACGGGGGTTTAGGAAAAACTCCCTTTCCCTAGGAAGAAACCTCAGGCAGATCCAGCGGCCCCCAGGGGAGCCCTCTGCCTGGGCTGGTAGGGCTTTCAACCTGGAGTCCAGGAGGTGATGGGGAGTAGTCATCTGCCCGCCGCTGGCAATGCCAGCTGATGGATTCGTGCTGCTACCAGTAGGCAAGCCTGAAGAGATGGGTTTTTAGTAGTTTAAAGGTGAGGATAGATGGGGCCTCCCTGGTGTGTTGTGGTAGGGCGTTCCATCATCCACCTATCTTCTTGGGTGGAGGATCAGGAATTCTCAGCAGGTGGGCTGTAGTGGATCTGAGGGCTCGGCCAGGGGTATAAAGGGACAGTGTGTCTGAGATATAGCAAGGGGCAAGGCCATTTATAGATTTGAACACTAGCAACAGTATTTTAAATTCAACAGTATGGTTTCATGCCTAGAAAGAGTACCACAGATGCAATATTTGCCTTGAGGATGCTGATGGAGAAGTACAAAGAAGGTCAGAAGGAGCTACATTGTGTATTTGTAGATTTATAAAAGGCATATGACAAAGTGCCAAGGGAGGAATTGTGGTTTTGTATGACAAAGTCAGAAGTGGCAGAGAAGTGTATTAGATTGGTACAGGACATGTATGAGAATAGTACAACAGTGGTGAGGTGTGCTGTTGGAAGGACATATGACTTCAAGGTGGAGGTAGGACTACATCAAGGATTGGCGTATCAAATAGTGGCGTAACTCGCCCGGCGTTGCCTCCCTCTCTTGGTGAATGTGTGTTCGCTTTCAGTCATCCAATGCTCCCACGCAGCTCGCAATTTAACTTTAAACGCCCTTTTAACACCAACATTTAGTGGTTGGAATTCCCTGGTTAATCCACCCAGAATGATGGCAAGCCCCGAATTAGTTTGCTTCACTTGGGTTTTGACAATATCGAAGAGATGGGCGCGCATGAAGTCGCAGATCAATAGGGACGGAGATTTATGAAAAAGGGTAGTGACCTAAGTTGGACACTGAAGGGGAACTGTTGTTGTTGTCCAGAGTCAGGGGTTGTCACTATTTTTGTTCTGAATGGTCACTGTATTGTTGTTTTGACGCTGTTCCGTGCGGAAGTGTGGATGTTTTGCAGAGAGAGTGTGTGTTTTTCCTTTATCGATAAAAAAGGAGAAATAAAGAGACTTTTTGACCTCTAAAATATCGACAGCCATGCGTCTGAGTCGTCCTACATCGCACCATACATCAACAATACATTTCTCCGGAGGTTGGGAGGCATGACGCTACGTTGCACAGATTTGGGTTGTACAACCATACTGTAACAATCGTTGTTGAGCATCTTCTGGTTGTGATAACAGAGTTAATGCTTAACTGTTAAACGTCATTGTTGGCTCCGAGTGTGCTTTAGTTGTGTGCCATCATGTGTGTTGCTCTGTGTGGTTTGGCTTTACAAAAGCGGTTCGAGCTCAGTAAGTGCAACCAGAAGTAGTACAGAAGGTGCACTGTCGATTTTTGAGAAAATTAAAGGCTTTTAAGTGCGCCTTATAGTCTGGAAAATACGGTATATGGTCAATGTCCCTGAATTTTGTAATTTCCTGTTCAAATACATGAAAGGAGGGCAATGTATGGCAGCGATGAGTGTTGCCTCACGTCTGGCAGCGCTGTGCTATACATTGACTGGAGCAGGCAGTTTGTGTGTGCCCATTGTTGTCTCTCTCTATATTGCCATTTTACTTGTATGTTTGATTACAAGTGCACTACAGTATAGATGCTGACATTCTACAGTCTGTATAATATGTTTAACGTGTATGTAATATATTTAATGAATGTGTGACAAAATTAGTCTTTCTGTTCGGCCATGCATTCACAAAGAACATGTACAGCAGGGGTGTCCACACATGTTCGGCCTGGGAGCTACAGTACTTTTCAAATGACCGGGTAAAGTGATCTACCTACATTGAAAACTATAAATATATATTTATTATATTTATTATATATTTATTATATATTTATTTTCTACTTTGATTAAATGGCTGTAGTTGTATTGCACAATACCGTCTGACTCAATACTTCTATGGTTCTTACTTTAGCCCTAGTGATTAGCATCTTAAAATAGAATTAAAGCTATACTTTTTATTTATTTATTTTTGGTTTTTTAAATGTAATTTCTCAGGATCTACCAGCACTCCCTTTGAGATCTACTGGTAGATCCTGATCTACTTATTGGGCACCCCTGATGTACAGGGTGATGCAAAAAGTACCGTGCTGCACTGAATGGAATTGACATGCGATGATGTTTTTCTGACTGACAATGTTGAGCCCCGTTGGTACAATGGTAAAGGTGCGTGTGGCTTTGTTAATGAGTTTGAACATTTTGAAAAGTAACTAAACTTACTCAACATTATACTATATTTTGAATGTTTCAAATGAACAAAAAAATAATAGAAAAAACTGTTGATATAACTTGTATAACAACGCAACAGGGGGCATTCAGGTAGCAAGGTAGAAATTTGACAATCTGATGATTAATGCACTGAAACAGAACGTTTGGACCAGGGCTGTTTTGACAGGATTAAAATAGTGCTGTGATGCTTACTACTGGGGTATCCTGGTATTTTGCCCAAAGCATGTTACAGACTTTTCTTTAAGATGCCAAGGAACTAATTTAGACAGAGAAGTCAGTCCCTAACCAGTGCCTAATTATGTTATGAACACGTTCAAATTCATGTAAATCGAATTTTGTAAAAAGGTCAGTAAAAAACAAGTAATTATTATACTTGTCTTATACTTTAGAGAGACGACCAAGCTTTGTTACTATATCAGTGAAATGGTACTGCTAGATAAAAATGTCTCTTTTTTAAAATATACAAGATACTGTGAAATGGACCTCCACATGGCCAAAGCCCAATCATACAGTTGTTATAAACGCAGCTCAAATTTGACAATGGCTACACAAGATATCTATCAGCCCTTTAATAGTTTGTTTTGACCTAGACCAAGAGTGTCAAACTCATTTTCACCGGGGGCCACATCAGCAATACAGTTCCCCTTGAAGGGCAGGTTGTAAATGAAAGACTGTATAGATCAAGGATCCCCAACCCCCGGTCTGGCGACCAGTAACAGTCCATAGGTAATTTGGTACCTGGCCGCAGTGGGACACAGTGAAAAAATTTACTTATTTACTTCATTCAAAGAAAATCCATTTACTTTCTTTATTTAAAGATAATTAGTAATATTTTACGCCACATCAGCAATACAGTTCCCCTTGAAGGGCAGGTTGTAAATGAAAGACAATGAAAATTTAATGATACTTCAATGCTCAGCACCTTGCTACCAGTCTGTAGTAACGGGTGGTACTTGCTGACCAGTCCTTGAAACCAAAAAGGTTGGGGGCCACTGATATAGATGTACTACTCCATAACAATACATAACTAATACATGATTCTGCAATTAATTATTATTTATTCAAGCTACAAATATTGTCCATTGCTGTGCAAAAAAAACAAACTTAATTTCTCAGGTTAAGAAACTCTGCTGCATAGACTTTTCAAATGCTTTTTAAGCTGCCATGGGTCACACAAAACGGCTTGTCGGGCCGCATTTGGTCCCCGGGCCTTGAGTTTGACACATATGACCCAGCTTGACAAAGCTCGCCCGACATACACTTTTATATCAGTGGAAGCCAAAGCAGGAAGGAAATGCAGAGGACAAAAATAAATAAACATGTACATATGCAGACACATTCAATGGGTGTACAACATGTAATAACCTACTATAGCCGCAACAAATATGTCTTTGAAACAGCTTGATTTCTTCACTTAAATTAGATATAAATTACAGAATAATATACATGAGTATATAAAAAATATATACATTGTATAACAAATAAGACTGCCAATTGATTATATTATTTAATCAGATTAATCACAGGGTAGCTGATCAGCTATGTATTGTGGTCTTTTACCTGTTGCCTTGTTGTTCCTCCCGTCAAATTAAATACCCTTGTTGTCTGTTTATATCCAATGCAAACCTGCGTGTAAAAGGTCGGTGTAGTTGATAATGACAGAACAGAGAAAAAGAAAAAGAGGTGTGTTTTTATGGTCTACTGCGGTTTAACTGGTTTGATGTGTGTTTGTGTGTGTGTGTAGGCTGCTGACACAGAGTAGCAAGAAAGAATGTGAAGGTGTGGAAAGTAAGTCATTACTTTCCGTGTAAGCAAAGACGAAACACATTTCTCAGTGGCAAGTAAATCTTTAGTTGTAAAGGAAGAAAGGGCACGTTTGTCATACTCTTCAGGCCAAGTGTGGCAACAAGCATTATCCTTGGTCTATTGATCTAATTATAACTAGGCCTAATCCTATTCTAATGTGCTCTTATTTACAATTACTTATCAGTTATAAACCTAGGCCTAACTATAACTCATTTAAAAGCTTAAGGCTAGAAAACAGTAAAAACAATTACTGACATAGACTGTCCACTTGTACCATATTTAGAACTTCTGTCTGAATTCTCTGACTTTTTATCTGAATTAGTGATCACTGCCAATGAAAATATTATTATAGATGATTTCAACATAGACAAAATGTTTATAATAACTATGGGTAGAGTAGCCCTGACCCTAGGTTCATAGCTACATCATAATAGAATTAGGGTCTGTGGCTAACTTTGGGATATGTGAATTTTGATATTTCATCTGTATTAGGTTGTTTGGTTTTCAGAGGACTTAAATTATGTCCAACCTGTGTCAATATCACAAAAAGCCTTCAGCATATATTTCACAATGTACAAATCATAATAACACTTGTCAGCAATGTTCCCTCTAATTTTTCATGTATCTGGGCATACACACAAGCTCCCTGAGACCACTGAGTACCACTGTGAGCAACATCAGAAGTGCACACTAGCCACACACTGCTATCACACCGATAAATTAAAGCAGCAATTTCCATTTGTTTACTTTTAATACAAGTGATTTAGCCCACTTAAAATAAAAAAGACAAAACCTTGTTCGTGAGATGTGTAGTATATTATATGTGAGTGTCCTGCTTTGGCCTAGATGAAGTCCAGTTGTGGTCTGTCTGAGAGTTCTGCTCTGGAAGAAATGAGACTTATGCACCTTTCAGACATAACACTTTCTAAACAATAAAACATTCACATTTTACACAATGTTGCATAAGCTTACGATGCTGTAAATAGAATTTATAGTTAGTTAGCAAAGTGTGTTGACTCCAACTATCTGCATGTCCTCCCTCACTGCATCCATATATCTCCTCTTTGGCTTTTCTCTTTTTCTCTTACCTGGTAGCTCCATCTCTAACATTCTTCTACTAATATGTCCACTGTCCCTCCTCCGCACATGTGCAAACCATCTCAATCTGGCTCTTTCTCTGTCTCTTTCTCTAGCTTTTTCTCCAAACCTTCCTGTCTGTGTTGTTAATGATAAATATCCAAAAATGTTTATGTCTTTTGATCTGCCGCACAGTTGTTACCAGGCTAACCTGCACGGCGCCACAGTGCACATGGCCAAGGCACATACGCGAGCACTGTCAATGGTCTGACTGACTGAGTAGCGTAAGTGAACCATCTCTTATCAATGGCTGGACACCCAGTGAGTTACATTATTACATTTTTTGGATCAATTGTTAATAAATGTATAACTTTATAACTACAACACAGTTTATGTTGAATTTTATTTTATGCGTTCAATAGATTTTCTTGTTCGCTGAAAATGTTCAAGCAGGGAATATTGAAGGAATATTGTTTGTCAGTACATAACACAAACCTTTTTTTTTTCCATTTTGATAAACCATTTATTAATTAATTAAATTTAATTTCTTGTTTTGTTTATATCTACTTCATACCAGTCAGCCAACTCACCCTCACTGGTCCATTAAGATTCAGTCAGAAGAAGTACAACATACACAGTTGTGGAAAATATGGAAATAAATAGTACAGGAGTGTGCCACAGTTCACTGCTGTGAGACAAATGTGGCAGTAAAGCGAAAGTAATTGAACACATGAGTTCATTGTGTAATGCTTTTAATATATTTTTAATTTGATAATTCCATATATTAGAGTTGAATATGAAAAGTAATATGGAGTACCATAATCCCTCGCTACATTGCGATTCTCCTTTTGCTTCCTCAGTACATCGCAGATTTTTTTTATTCCTATCTCGCGAGAGTTTGTCTATATTTCGGTATTTTACGGTATATATATATGTACGGTATATATATATATATGTATATATATATATATATACACAGTATATATATACGTATATGTCTATATACAGATTTCTTTTTTTAATTTACATTATTGTCGTGATAAAAAAACTTAAATTGAATTTTCCAACCTAAAAATTAAACAGTAAAAGTATAAAGTAGACATCGCTGGTAGCTTTTATTACCTAGAGGAGCTTGAACACAGCATTGAGCATGCTCTTCTGTTCCTCACGCTGATTAGCTGATGCACTGTATCATTTCTTAGTATCTCCCCTTGTCTGTCCAGCACTCGTTCACTTTGCTCTGCACGGTTATATAGTATGTTGCTGTAAAGCATGTGTGTCAAATTCACGGACATATTATTTTAAAATACTACCAGATTATCTTTAAATAAAGAATGTAAATGGATATGACTGGATTTTCTTTGAATGAAGTCAATTAAGTACATTTTTTCACTGTGTCCCACTGCGGCCAGGTACTAAATAACTTATGGGCTGTTACTGGTCCCTGGACCGGGGGTTGGGGAACTGTATTGATGATGTTCCCATTGGTGAAAATGAGTTTGACACCCTTGCTGTAAAGTTTGTGCTCTTGTGTTTGGTGAAAGTTTACCCTAGTACAATGCCTCCTAAAAGGCTCTGCAGCTTATCAGGCTTCTGTTACCAAGCTGACACAGATGGCAGTTCACAGCTTTTATTTTTCTTTACAATAATGTGTGCTCCTGCACTGTGCCCAGCTTTCATATACGGTCCGTCCGTCTTGGCCAGTATGCATTCCTTTGTTCACTGTCCTCTTTCCTTGGTCCCTACTACCAAGGAGAGGCTTGATTACTCGAATTGCGCTCACCTGCGTCTGGGGCTGTAATTGTGAAGCCCCTTGGACTGTATTATCCATCCATCCATCCATCCATTTTCATCCGCTTATCCGTTACCGGGTCTCGGGGGCAGCAGTCGCCACCCAAATCACATTGCACTGTCCCAACCCCACCTAAACCATCCTGCGGGTGGTGAGTCCACTGGAAGGGACCAACTTCCCTAACCGGGATTCGAACTTGCCCAGGAGGGGAACCCTGGGGTTCCACACCAATGACAGAGGCATTGCCTCTGGGCCAAAGTGCCACAGGACTGTATTACATAAAAGATATTATTCCGACAAGTATTTACATCCAAAAGTGGCTTCTTGTCCTAATTGATTTGCTATAGATGGATGTCTTTGAGGCAGGAGATGATGTAATAAGAGTTTAAAACTATTCTGCACCTTGTTGTCACCACATCAACAATGCCATGTCACCAGTTAAAAAGGCTAAGCTGAACAGGAAATGCTGGAAAGTCCAGCGTCAAACATAACCTTTATTAAATTATATTATTATGTCTCATTATACAACGTTGGCACTTTTTTACTCTCCTAACTCTGTATCACATATTTAAGTATATAAGTTATTGCTTTATGGCTTTGTTTGTAAAGTCATTTGGTGAGATGTAAACAACTCATCTGTTCACCATTGTTGAACTGAGTGTAGGCCATATGTTACATGTAGCCGTTAGTATGACAAAGCAAGGCATGACCCAATACAGCACTCAGGAGACTCTCTTCAAAGTGCAGAGAATTTATTTTAAAAATTACAGTCACAATGAACATGAATAATGATCCCACAAAGAAGTTTTTGAGGGAGAGAGGTTTATATAGACAGGAAACCAGATGACACGAGTGAGACTAATGATAGAAAGAGGTGAGTGTGATGACACTGCTTAACTCTAATTTTTAACTCTATTAGCTCTGTTTGTATAACATACAAGATGGAAAGTGAGACAGGTAAATACCTCACTGGATACAAGGCTTCTGTAATGAACCAAAACTAAACTAAAAAGAGAACTAGAGAGAGAACTAGAGAACTTGTGTCCCCCTCGTAGACCAAGGCACCCCAAGAATCACAAAGCCTATGGTTGCCTCTGCTGCTGACCCAGGACCCATCACTAGAACATCAGCAAAAAAACATTAAACTATTTAATTTTATTGCTAGCTTTTGTTATACAAAATTTAACAGTTTTAACAATCCCTCTCTTGGGAGGAGTTAATACTTAGCAGTTAATACTTAATTTCTGTAGATGATTCTTTACAGACAAAAACATAACATTCAGAACATTAGAGAAACCCTTAATACTTAATTTCTGTAGATGATTCTCTAAAGACATAAAAACAACATTCAGATTGAATGTTGGGTGATGTTTCATTTATCATTAGTGCTATTGGCGGATCAGTGTGGTTCCTCTCTCTGTTTTGCGCCTCCCACCAAAGAATTGGAGACAATATGAATATAGTTACTAAAATTAGGATCAGTGTGGTTCCTCTCTATCTCTCTATCCTCTCTACCTCTCATCATTCAAAACAGGCATATATTTTCACAAGACACAGACACAAAAAAATAACAAACAATCAAGTCTTTGTTTCACGTCATCTTCTTTTTATCTTTCTATATGTTTATGAGGGGTCATCGTGTTGTCATACAAGTCTAGTGAGTACAGAGGTGCACACTGCTCGGAACTAACAATGTTTTTCTTCAGATTCACAGGTGTAGAGCACTGTGAATCCCTTTGTTGAGGTTCTGCGTCATCTTCGTCTGTTGATTAATCGTCTACTGGTACGATGATCTCCCTGTCTGGTTCCACCACTCTAGCACATTGATTGAGATGGTACCACACCTCTCTGCCTTGGACTTTTACTGCATGGCCAGTGGATTCTGCCACCTTGCACGGTCCGATCCACCTTGGTTGTGTCCACATTCTCTTGTGTTTTTTGATATACACCCAGCCAGGAGTGGAACCACTCGAGCTTATTTGTGAGTCTTTCTCGTTCTGCAACCTGTAATCACGGACAGAAACTAAAGCATTTGTTAGTGCTGACCAATATGCAGGTGTTTAACTGGGTGGTGTTAGGTCTCTTTCCTCTGGTGTGAAGCCTTTAGCCGGAGACTCCCACGTTCTTCCTGTATGTAATTGGAAAGGCGATAACCCTCCTGTGCTTGCCTTTGGAGTATTACAAAGGTTGTGCAGGACTATCGGGAGTGCGTCGACCCACATTACGTGTTTTTGCCAATTTCATTTTAAGTAGTCCATTGGCTCTCTCTACCAATACCTGACTTGGGGGATGGTATACAGAACCAAACTTATGTTTTATACCAAAACGTTCTTCAACCTTTTGCAAATCTGCATTCTTAAAATGGGCTCCA